TGTGTGTGTGTGTGTGTGTGTGTGTGTACTGCTCCAGCTCTTTGTAAGTAGATGGTATCTGCTGATAATGTCACATCAGTGGAGGAGAGATGAGCTCACTCACATTCCAGAGGAGCAGTGCAGCACTGCAGGGCTGCACGGAGGGGCGGAGTGGAGGCAGCGCCATCCACTGGCAGCTTTGAATACAGGCCAGAGGACTGACGGTGTCTGTGTTGTAGTGCTCGTACTGGTAGAGGACATGTTTTGTCTCCAGGCTGCAAGCTTGTCACAGCTGCTGAGAGGCCACAGCATGTGTTCATAGCTTAGCACAGAACAGCATGATTAACATGGGCTGAACTGGAAAAACTAGATGACTTTAAATACTCCGCCTGGCTGAGTGGCTGCAGGAGATGATCGGCTCACCACTCACCGTAACTGTCGGCTGGATAGTGTTGCTGATGCAGCGCAACAGGTAACTCAACAACAATATTACACACGTCAAAATGTACAATATATATCCACCCCCACTAACTGCTGCAGAGCAGACGTTGCCTGTTAATTCAGTTGTTATTAATATCTTGTGTACAAATTGCACCAAACTCTGCACTGCACTTGTTTGGGCAATTTACAATACACATACCAAGTGCTGCAACACAGGTGAGAAATGTGTTCCACACAAAGACATATGTTTGTGGACTTAGTAGGTAGATGTAGCTGTTAGTTTGTGAGATGCTGAATATCAGTGCAAAACAGACATCATAACTTGAAATCAGCACAAGTGGAAAGGTCAGAGGATGACAAGATATATTGATACATCCAGCAGATGTTATGGAACTGAAGCAGTTAGATTCAGTTAAATCCCTTGTTGTTGACCAAAGTGAAGGTTGAAGGAAGAAGTGTCATTGAAGCGAAAGGTCATGGGTCACTGACATCATTCCAAATTGTTCTCTGAAGAATATTCACAGCAACAGACACGGTCATGTAGACAAAACTGTGATAATCCTGCAGCTTACATCTCAGTTCTGGTTTTCTATTCTTTTCCAAAACCTCACAAAACTGTGTGTGTGTGTGTGTGTGTGTGTGTGTGTGTGTGTGTGTGTGTGTATACTCACAGCTTTAGCAAACACTCCCATGAGCTCAGGGAACTGGTGTGTGAGCAGAGCTAGCATGGCGGTGAAGGAGCAGAGACCGGCTGTGAAGAGGATGAAGAAGGGCAGCTCCTTCTTCGGGTAGACTGACACCTCGTGGAACACTGCTTCCACGTCAGACACAAACACACACACAGACACACACAGACACACAAATATAATGTTAGTTTGGAGTAATAAATATGATCATCATGAATCTGATCAGGTTACTGATCGTCATCACGTAGAACAAAGGTCTTAAGTACGCTCTCTAAATTACAACCAGATCAAATGTAAACAATGTAATAAACACATGAAGCTTGGTTCAAACTCTTAAAACTAAACCCAGAGAAGAAAGTGTGGCAGGTTCTCCAACATGCTCTGAACAAACTACCTGACAAGTACCTGAAACACTGTGTGCAAGTGTCCAGGGCGGAACTGGTGCTGATGGTCCTAGCAAATATTAATCTGATTGAGGTTTTATTGTATGAAGGATATTTGTAAATAAAATGATTTTAGTGCCGAAAATGAGGAGACAAACTGCTTCTGTCTCAGATGAAAACAGTTGTAGCTGTTTGTTCCACAGTTTACAGTGTGCTCTATGTGTCAGTCATTTTTATTGAGGGTGTAAATGACTTCAAAACTAAATGGGTCTTTTCAGAGAGTGGACAAACTCTCTTTAAATAAACTCAGGGGTTTGGTGCTGTAATATACAGCATGTAAACAAACGTCCTCCCTGCTGCACACAACCACAGCACAGTGTGTGAGGACAGACGAGCTGCTGAGCAGACAGCAGGACAACACACATCTCATGTCAACCAACAAACTTCCACACACAGAGGAATGTCTCAGCATCAAGTATAAATAACACATTTTACCACTCAACTTTAGAGCCAGACTTTAAAATTAGCTTCTACAAACAATTTAACTGTGTAACAGACAAACAACCTCAGACGAGTCATGCTGCAATGATGCTAAGCAGTGCCTGGACTTCCTCGCCAGGCCATCGGCCGTACGCTTTCTACAGGTCCAGGATCAGAACTGTAAACTGTCAGTTTTCTGCTTAAAAATAGTGAGTGAAATAAAATACGTCCAGTGCTCCCAACAATCAGTAATGGTCAGTGCTGCAAGACCCATCCCTGATGTTCCTGAACCTCTGAAGAGTACTAGACTCCGACCTGGGAGCTTTTGCAGGTCAAAAAAATGTACCCAGAACTTTATTTAGACTCTAGTAATCATGAAACACACTCCAGCAGACAGAATTTACATATAAGGACTGTTGGTTTTTGGTTTATACTCAGTGAACAGATGCTGTGTACATGTAGAACTGTGTGTCAGGGCGTCTCTTACTGGGTAGCAGCTCTCTGTCGGCTGTCTCTGTGCAGATGGGGTAGGGGTAGAACAGGTGACCCTTCTCCAGAGGATAGGGGATCATTCTGAATGCTGCAAACACAGGTCAAACAAAGCTCTCAGCACAGATAATGAATTCTTCAGCTTCAAGAGTCACTTTACAGTATTTCAGCTCATAAAGGACTGTAACAATATCAGATTTTCAAGATAGAAGAAGTCAAGCAACATTATTACAATATCTATAGGAAGTTATTATAAAATCAATAATACAATAAATATTATGTATGATATGATCAGTGAATTTCATCTGAACTACATTAACATAGACAATAATATTCTGATACAAGCCAGATTTAGACAAAAGTCTGAATAAGACACTGCCATGTAAAGAGCATTTTCTTAAAACCTTAACCTGGATAAGGTCATACGCAGAATACGCAATAATCAGATTAAGGCGTGGAGTATTTCGAACATCACATAATGCAGACATGTATACATCTTAATTGAAATGTCACAACAGCCCTAGCCTGTAACCATTCACGTGTGTGCTTGTAATGCTAAAAGTTGTGTGACGTGTGTGTGTGTGGTTTTGTTTGTATGTGCATCAGTGTGTACTCACTGCCCTCCCAGGTGCAGTGCAGTAGGTTGAGTGCCCCCTCCACCCTTTTCCAGTGCTGCAAGTGGAAGAAGGCGTAGGCGATGGCCTCACTGTCGCCTCGCTTCAAGATGTGTTCTGGAGGAAGAATCAGACTCTTCATCTCCAGCAGATACTGAGGAGGAGGAGGGAGCAAAGACAGGTGACGGACAGGAGAGAGAAGAATAAAACGAACAGGATTAAGTGACTGAAGTCAACTGTAAATTAAATGTTAGAGAAAACTCCAGACACTGCCACTCTAGTAACATTTAAGCTGTTTTCAGACATGCACTAAACTTAGTATAATGTGATACACAAATATCCAAGTGAGGTTCTCCTGCTAGTCCACTAGTGGAAACTTTAGATAAGGTCCAAGGGAACCCACGTGAGAAAACAGCAGGAGATTATCTGGATGATTTTGCAAGCGAGTGGGCGTGTTAAGTGCGTTTCTGAGGACAGACGCCAAACTAAAAAAACAAACAAACAAAAAAAAAAACAAAGAATACAAATATCTCAGGATGAAAAGGCGGTGCCATACATGTAGGAGACACAGATGCAAATGGTAATTTGAAAAAACAATGAGATTCAAGAGCTTTTGGTGATAAGGGCCAACGCTGGTATTGATGTGTTGTAAAGGAAAACACGTGATCTCCTCAGCGGGATTTTATACATTACGTCCTGCCTCTGCACCACCCTTCACCTGAAGACACTGGAGATTTCAGTGTTATTTTGAATCTGTCTGAGTGGAGCATTGCTGCGTTCTTCTAATGTGAAAGGTAAACTCTGTAAAGACCCCATTGTGTGGCCTTAAAGGTACAGTGTGTAGAATATTGTGATATCTAGTGTGGAAATTGCATGTTGCAGCTGAACACCCCTCACCTCACCCTCTCCTTCCAAACATGAAAAAGAACCTGTGGTAGCCTTCAGTTTTCATAAAAACTCAAAAGGTGTGAAAAAAACATGGGTGTCTCTGTAGAGAGGGTCCCCTCGATGTAAATATAAAGTATATTAATATAAAGAGTCTTTTCTGGGGTAAAGAAAACTACAATTCATATAATTTAGATGAAACGAACTAGTGAAAACATCATGAGGATTATTCTACATTAAATTTCTGCCAACAGATCCCTTTCACCTAAATCTTACACACTGGACCTTTAAATCCAGTTTACTAGAGTTCAACTAAAATGAGTATTAATATTTTTAATTTGTACTTTTTTTCTCTATATGATCACGTGGTTGTTAAACTGCTGTCACAGTGTCCTCTTGAACAGTGTATCTACTCTTTCACTGTGAATATAAATGTTGTAGAGTTTGCGCATCAGTGCTGAATCCTTCAAACATTGTCTGTTACAGTTTCTGAACCGCAGAGCACAGACAATAAAACCTCCCCAGCACCCAACTGAGTTTCATGTGAACAAATTTACACATAGCTCTGTGACGTGTGTGTGATGACTTAGCATGTGTGTAAAGTGTGTATGCAGGTGGCGCTCCTCTGGGACTCACTTTGGGGACGTGAGGGTTGAACTCCACCGCTCTGTGGATGGCTTCTACTGCATTCATCTCTGCTGTGCTCAGCCCTCGTCTGGACGCTGCCTCTGGAGAGAACCTGCACAAACACACGTGACCATACTTGGGACTGCACGACTAGATGATCACAAAAAAAAAACCTCTGGATAAAGACAGTGAAGTCCAAACTCCTCAGTTATCACTGAATAGCTGCTCTGCATTAGAACATCACATAAATTCCAAGAATTATTAGCACAGTGGTTGCAGCATCATCTGAGTTAAAACCTGCAGGAGATACAGGAGCTCCGGTTTCAGACCATAGTCTACAGACATGCAGGTTAGCTTAAGTGGCCACAATAAATGGTCCACAGGTTTGGATTTGAGCGTAATGCTTTGCCTCTAAATGTCGGCTCAGTGATAGATCTCTGCCGAAGAGGTTCTGTTTTAATCAGTTTGATTGTGTACGTGTGTTTGAAAGAAAGATTACACAAAAATTGCAGGACGGATTACCGTAGGATGTGGTTTGGGTCAGAAAAGCACCATAAAAGTACAGTTGGTCCTATTAAAGTCTACTTTTTGTCCTTGATCTCTCGTCATTTTACACAACCACAGTGTGCTGGTTACACTAATAGCAAATTGTTATGGAGAAAGAAATCAAAAAGCTGACTAAGTAATGATGTTAGATTGTCATGAATCTTGTTGATCTACTATCAGAGGGCAGAGGCTGGTTTGTCTCAAACCGTGATACCTTCAGGGAACCACAACAGCAGCAGAGAGAGGACAGAGGACGGATGGATGGATGTTTTTTTAAAATGCTTCAAATAAGTATAATGTAATGCAAACTTCCTGCAGTAATGTAAGCATTTTCAATGATGGGATTCTAATTTTAAGAATTAGAAAATACAGAATAAACATTGACTTTGTAGCACACAATGTACAAATCAATTCTCCTTTACAATAACTCCTTATGAATTAATTAAAATGTGCAATATTTAAGATCAGTGTTTATGATTAGAATGTACACATTTCTTTTCTTTATTCTCTTAAAATTATGACTTTATTCTTGTAAAATTACAACATTTTCAGGTTTACCTCAGAATGACCAGAGCTCTCTGAAGAGACAAAAGCCAGACTCTCCACAATAACACTGATTGTGCCCTCTGTTGTATAGAGTTTACTGGCTGCCCTCTGTTGGTACACCACTGCTCTCACTCTCACTCACACACACACAACACGTCCCTGAGGCCATTATCAGCTTTATTTTAAACTCTGGCAGTGCAGGTATGTCAGGTCTCTGTATGAGCATTGTAGCCGATGAAAAGCGATACTCACTTGTCTGATACCGCCCTTGCTTTGAGCAAGGCTGCTGTGTAGCATATTGTTGCAGATTTGGGTAAGCTAATATCTGTGGAGGAGACACAAAGCAGAAAGGGAGAGACAGGAGGGGGGTGTTTAGTGAACGTAGTTACAGGTGGTAGCTTAAGAATCCTGCAGCTGCCCAAAGGGGTTTCTGAATGATGATAGTGGGTTTGGGTTTCATAGCTCTGAAGGTGTTTTGCTATCACTCAGCTCTTAGTTTTCAGTTGTCTAACAGCTCAGTGTGATCTACTGTGTTCCATAGATATCATCATATCACAGATGATCAGGCTCCATAGGGTGGAGATGAAGAGAGTAAAGACAAACTCAAGTGTTTGCCTTTGTTACATCACTATGTTTTATATCTACAGGTATGTCAGAATAAGGGCTGCAGCTAACACAGCACTGTTATTCTGCGGCGTGTTTTTCAATTCAAGGGTCTACAATGTGTCAGGAAGTAAATGATGTTACATGAAATCTAACCTGTCTGACCAGTACAAACCCAAAATAAGATACGTTTATTATGACACAGATATCCAGCAGAGATAAGAAGCTTAAACCAATACATGTTTCGCATTAAAGCTTGAAAACCCAATAGATTATGAAATAAGTTTCCTGCTCTTTCTGGAAATACAGTGTGTCACACTGCAGAATTCTAAACGTACATCCAGAACATGAAGAGTGTGCGTGAGTCAATTTTTCCCTCACCGTCATACTTGGCCAGAACGGCCTGGACGTCAGCGTAGTTCTGGAGCTCTAGTAGTGACTCCAGCAGGTTCTCATGGATGTTGAACATACTGAGGAGAGGGAACTCCTTCATTAACTGGAAAACACACAACTGTTGTTACATGTAATACCGGAGAGGGGGCGACACATGCACAGTAGACATGATCTTTGGGTCATCAGTTAAAGTGTACAGTCTGGTTAGATTCATATAATAAGAGTGAGTTTTATATGTGTGTTGGATTTCTGTCATTTAGTGTGACACTTGGATTAACCCTGATTGACTTGTGTGTGTATGTGTGTGTATGTGTGTGTGTGTGTGTGTGTGTGTGTGTGTGTGTCTTCTGCTGGCAGGGTGTGTACTTACATCTCTCATCATTTTAACGGCTTCCCGTGTTCGGCCGAGCTTTCTGGAGCACATGGCCAGTCTTCTCTTTATATACACCAACACATTGGTGTCTCTTCCTGGTGAAGACACACACAATTAATTTAAATACAGATCAGATTTAATATTTTAATTAATATACATTTCATGTCCTTGAAAATCAATGAATCGTGTCCATATGTCAGTCAGTGCAGCACATCGGTGAGGCTGCAGATTAGGTATTTACAGAATTTAAGAATCCTCAGATCTGTTTCTTAAATTAAAAATCATGATTCACGCACAAGAAGTGAATTATAGCTGCAAGAACACAAAATAATATTATTATTAGCAGTGCTGATAATGAATCATACTCACTGTGCTGGGCTTCATACTGTGTACCATGATGCTGGAGCTGCTGGCTGCGGCGATAGCAGCTCTCTCCAGCTTTTAGTGCCTGTTTAAACAAACGTTCGGCCTCCATGATGGTGGTGGCCTCCTCCTCCGCCAGGAGGATATATGCTGTCGCACAACTGCAGAAGGAGAGGGATTTTGATGGGCGAAGTGTGAGGAATAAGAGGAGACGATGAAGAGAAAGCAGGAGAAAGAGGGGAATAAAGAAAACAGGAGTCAAAGTGAAGGGAATATGTGGATAGATAAGGACAGAGGAAAGGAGACAGAAAAGGAGCAGAAAGTGAAAGAATATGAAAAGAGAGGGAGGCAGCATGGGGAAGCAAAGGACACAAATGTTTAAAGGCAGTTATTTATAGTTTCCCATGTTTACTCTGAATATGCTTCTTTTTATTTCTCTCCTGTTACACAGGGAATTAAACATTAATTTATTCACACATCCTTGTGAAATAATTAATTGTTCACCAACACAGTGTACAGGGAACCTTGTTTATCTACACAGTACTGCATCTCTACACCATAAACTGCTTTCACAACACTGATCAACAAAGCTCTCCTCTGAGTCAAGCAGCTGCCACAGCTTTGATTCCTCCTGAGAGCAACGTACGACACAGCAACTTTGTAGATAGATGCTCCTGAAGATAAACCCAAACGCTGTGAAAACAAGTTAAGTTGTTATGTCTTCCCTTCCATGAATGAAGCAGACACCCAGAGGGCCAATGTGTGACTAGATGCACCAAACATCTCTGAGACAAGACACCCAGCAGTTCTCAATCTGTCCATGTATTAGACTGAAAGTCTACTGACAGGGTTATTTCCTTTTGAAGTTTTTTGGTGAAATCAAACACTAATATTTTTTTGTTTTTAGGAAGGATGTGTATGGGTCTGGAGAGAGCCTGTATATTATTGGTGCAGATCCAGATCAGGGGTGGATTCAATAACTTGTTTTTTTTTCAACATTGCAAGATGTGTGGTATGAGGTATGCACTCTCTGACTGAGCTCAGTATAAACTTGGTATAAACAGACAGAAAGACCTGCACTGTCTGGTGTGATGGCATCATACTGATGTGATATGATAGTGTTCACAGGGAATTATCTCAATACAACAAAGAGAACATTGTCTGATTGGAAAATATACACATGCATGCATGGTATGCATCACTCCTCCAAAGCTTTACATCACAATGTCAAGGGGGGGTTGAATCAATTATTCTTATTTTATGAAAATAAATTGCCCCTTTGAAATTCATAACAGCCCCCTCAGTCGCTTCATCCTGGGACCAGGCCTGAATCAACACATCGACGATGTTGAACTCACTCTTCAAGCTCCAGAGCTTCATGTGCTGCAGAGATACGAGCCTGTGGGTTCCTCTCTCTCCACGCCTTCTGCATTACTGCCAGCACACAAACAAAGACACATATTTACCACACGTGCCCATATAAGATGTGTGGTTCTGCATACTGCAGAGGGAAAAAGTTATGTTTATTTGCGTTTCCTTACTGGCGTCAGCGGGCCGGAGGTGGTCCGAGTCACAGGTGAAGAAGGTCTGGTGGTCTTGTGCCGACAGGTTCATGTCATAGTACGTCAGTGGCTCTCGACCGGTTACCCACGTATATCTGAACACCAGCATGGAGACAAAAGAAGGCACATAAGTAATAAGCTACTCAATTGCAGCTCCACTATACATGACAATAGACCGAATACAAGAATCCCAAATGAAAGGTACAGAGAGAAGGACAAAATTAAGAAGAGATCAAGAGAATCAAAGACCTGAGCAAATTTACATGCTCAGATATTAGATGTTCAGATCACAGAAGAGTCAGAGGCTGTGCTGACTCAATAAGAAATGTACGTGATTCTGACTGGCCAAGGTGAAAAGATGGAGCTCAGCATGTGGGTTGATAGGTGGAGAGAAAAGACGGGATAATTACAACGTGAGGGAGGGAAAAGAGGAGTATGACTCAATGGGAGGCAGACGCATCAAAGAGAGTATAAAAGAAGAATGGCAAGAGAATAGAGACACGAGAGAGAGCAAAGAAATGAAAGAAATCTGGGAGGAAAAACAGATGAGAGACAGCAAAAATACAAAAATCTGGAGTAAACGACAAGGTGCTCATGAGGGAAAATGAACAAAACAAAGAAAAGGAGAAAATAACTGTATCTAAGGTGAAAACACCAGAAAGCTGACAGATCGTGAAGTGAGAAAAGGGAGTAGGAGAAGGAACAGAGACAGTATATCAAACAGATAAAGATGACAAACAGGGGAGGCTAACCCGGCGGCCCAGACCAGCTGAGGGTTTTCACACACAGGTAGCTGAGCTGCTGTCACTCACCGATTATACTCAGCTCCACGAAATAAATTCAGAGGATTTCGCCATACTTTACATTCTGCAGGAGGGAGACAGAGAGAGAACAACACTGGTGATGAGTGTCAGGAGCAAAGTCGACATTGAGTCTCCTCGGTGCACTTCAAAAGGCTCGGCTGTGCGTTCTGACACCCCCCCCCGCAGCACGGCTGGCAAGAAGTTAAGGCCTGCAAAACTTCTCAGCGAACAAACGCATTGTCAGTAAACAGTCACGAGCCCATGTTTTGGCTAATAGCACTAAACAGATGAATGAGCAGGATACAGGATTTAACAATATGGCTGTTCAAAATGTTGATACCAAAAATATCTTGGAGAGACATGTTCTGTTTATGTGTTGATTTCACATCAAGATCATCTTATTTGTTTGTCTAATATGCAATGTAATATTGTTATGTAATCGTGGGTTACCAGCTTTGGCTTGGGGGAGGATTTATAACAGAAAGCCTGAGTTGCAAACCGAAGAATTTTAGATTGCTGGGTAGGAAGGACAAAAGTAAGAAAAGCATTATTCATTGTGGGGAGCGGAGGAGGGAGATTTTATGGAGCTAAAACCACAACAAACATTAGTTGGTCAGGATATCTCAGCCTCTTCCACTCTGATTTGATATTAAAGTCTGTTCACTTAATCAATTTCCAAAATTTCTGAACACAGAAGTGCTGAAGTATCCCAGGGACTATTTAGGCTTTTAAATAATTACCTCTGCCAAGGATGTCATGTTTTCATCTGTGTTTATTAGTGCGTCGTTCTTTCTTTATTTTGTAGCAGGATTAGGCAAAAACCACACAAATGATTTCCATGAAATTTGTGTTGTGTGTATATTCAACATTTTCGTCAGTTTCTCTTTGAACAATTCATGGATCTGGATGAATTTAGGGGGACTGATATTTATGAGTGTGTGCAATTTGGTGGGGATCTATTGAATTTATTTGTGATTTCATAAGCGGATGTTGGACCTTGGTGAGATGTGTACTATGCTGAGAGCCATTCTAGTTAAAATTTGAATTCTATATGTATTTAAAAAATGCACATAATCTAAGAAACACAACACATGAAAGCATCATACAAATGTCTACTCACTTCACATACACCTTTTCAATTCATGCTGTCCGACAATATTAATTGCAGACCTGTGACTAATCAATCAAATTGACTTCAATTGAAACTGTATTTGACATCTGCTGTAACAATGAATGGAGAGATTCCTCACAGAGTAGATTATTAGTGAGAAAACTAAGGATTAGCACAGTTGAAATAATTAAACTGCCTTTCTTCTCTCCATGCCGCCTTGTTGATTTAACACAGCAAACATAATCCTGTTTAATTCAGTCATTTGGCTGAAAACAAAAACAAGCTGTGTTACGTCTCCTCAGCGACATCCACGACAGGCAGAGAAAACATGCAGAGATTACAGTGATGCAGAGGTTATTCATCATCTCAACCATTCTAACTTTAACTTTCATAACAACTTGCCGCTTATACGATTTTAGCCTGAGTCACTAAATGCTTGCTGGATTACTGATGCATATGAAGGATAATGGAACCAAAGGCACTGAGGCACTAATTCAGCTCTAAGACATTTCCTCTTTTTGAAATGGATGAAATTCCATGAGGAACCACAAACACATTGGGATTAACTGTGATCAAAGCGTCACTGATGTAGGCGGGAGACAAGAGGCCACAAAACAGAGCTCATCCCCAGTGACTGTGGAGGATATTGCTGGACAGACTCCAATTTCTTACATCTCCTCCACTGTACTTCAATGACAGTGTAGAGGTTTGATTCCCTGTGTTACTCAACACGGGTACATTATTAAAACACATGTTTCTTCTTAAAACACACCTTTAGTGATAGAAGGACCTGAACCAGTTTCTTTATTGGATTTAAGTGACTCTTTTTCTTGTCTCTTAACTTAAATGTTTCCAAAATCCATTATAACGTCTTGTTTTATTGTTTTTTGTTTCAACATATCTCTTTCTTTAAATATCCAGGTAGTAGTGTACTGCAAACACATAAAGGTAGATACTGACTACTAGCATACACTTAATACTAACATTTTTAAAAGGTATGCACCAAAGCAATTGTATGTGTTTGGTGGTAATGTATTTTTGAGAATTAAAAAAGTTGGATAAATGTTGGAAAGATTCACTTATAAATTGTAAATATAAGGCTGACGTGTCATCAAGAGACAAATCCTAGCGCTGCCCCATTAACCGTAAGAATGGAGCAACTTTATTTATATATTTTATGATTCACAGCAAGAAGCCAAATATTCAAACAGAACTCATCTGGATGGAGTATTTCAAATAAACCCTCTATGATCACTCTTGGTCAGTCTCTGTGTGTCAATGCAATGCACCAAAACATAATCAAATCAAGTCCTAATTGTTGCATTTTACTGTTAACAGTTTATATCAGAAGAAGCAAGATTATTTCCATGGAAATTCTATTTAAAACTCCTCCGTGTATGAGGGCCTCTCCAGAAACACATTCAATTCAATTATTTTCTCTGCTTTCAGCCAACCACTGGGATTTGACTCGATACAGCTGGAAAAAGTTTTAACTGCTGTTAAAACCTCTGTGTCACTGCAGCAGACTGAGAAAAGGAAGTCACCTTATATATGCTCCCCTTAGGCAACATCATCAGAAAGCACCACATACACTACCATTGTTACGCAGACGACACCCAGCTGTACATCTCTATGACGCCTGATGCATCTAATCACTTAGTTCAACTTCAGGAATGTCTCAAGAACATCAAGGCCTGAATGACCCAAAACTTCTTACTTCTAAATTCAGACAAAACTGAGGTCATTGTAATTGACCCTAAACCTCTCAGAGAATCACTGTCTGAACAGATAGTCACCTTGGATGGTGTCAGTTTGGCCTCCAGCTCCACTGTGAGGAATCTTGGAGTTATGTTGGACCAGGACATGTCATTTGACCAACACATAAATCAAATCTCTAGGACAGTTATCTTCTACCAGTGCAATATTAAGAAAATTAGAAACATCCTGTCTCAAAAGGATGCTGAGAAACTAGTCCATGCATTTGTTAGCTCTAGACTAGATGACTGTAATTCTTTATTATCAAGATGTCACAGTAAGACTGTAAGAAGCCTCCAGTTGGTCCAAAATGCTGCAGCACGAGTGCTGACAGGAACTAGAAGGAGAGATGGAGGTTTCTTCCTGTTAATGAGGGAGTTTTTCTCTCCACAGTCGCCAAAGTGCTGCTCATTGTGGGGAACTGTTGGGTTTCTTTTTATTAATACGATTTTAAGGTCTTGACCTTCTATGTAAAGTTCCTTGAGATAATTGGCGCTATACAAATGAAATTGAATTGAAAAGTGAGAACAGCCTCTTGACCATGGAGCCCAGAGAAGTGATGATATAAATAGATGTTGGTAATCATGAAGGCCATGGGGTTTTCACTTGTTCTTTTACTTTGTTCAAAACATTCTTTGGGGGGATAAGTTTTAGTTTCACAGACATAGTTGCTGGTAAAAAAGGAGAACAATTTAAGCTGCATCTACAGTATATCATTGTGCTTCAGGTGAGTGCGATGGGAAATGTTGACCAAGGAGGTTACTGGGCAGGTCAGTGTTTTAAATCCAGTCCAGATTGCATATAATGGTCATTTTTGTACAACCACCATTATGCAATGGTTGTCTATCAACGTGTTGGTCCACCTGTAATTAAAATCGTATTCAGAGGAACATCCTTGTGTTTTCAAGTGGAAGGGTTTTTTCAAAAGAAGGGTTTCTTGTCCTCCGTTTTTTAAATTATTATAGGTCAGTCAGCAACAGGAACATAATGATATTACCTGAGCCCCACATTTTCCCCTTTCTTACATTTGTTATACTCAAATGACTCTGGAATTAGCTGGCAGCTGTTCCTGTTCATCAATCCTTCCAATGACAATCTACTTTTATACCTCATACTTTAGATGAGTTTGATCAAATAGCTTCCTTTATTCTGTGTCAAGACCAAGATTTTAAGTTGTACTCCCTCACAGAAGTATAAGGCTGCAACCAAAAAAGGTT